ATACTTAGAACTTGCACAAGTTGTATGCAAGTGTATGCAGATGTTTGTAACACAGGGACTGTGGGTATTCAGTCCGTCCAGCATCTTGTCTCAATTTGTAAAATGGCAGCACACACAGAATGGGATGTTTGCATCTATCTACTGCTTTTACACAGAGGAACAACGGGCACAGCTTTCCTTCAGTGATGAACCAGCTGCCTTCTGTCAGAGGAGTAGTCCACCACCTGTCTTCATAAAGACTGGCACGTGGACAACTAGTTACGAAGCCTTTTCTTTTTTTTTGAGACAGAGTCTCACTATATCACCCTTGGTAGAGTGCCATAGTGTCACAGCTCACAGCAACCTCCAACTCCTGGGCTTAGGTGATTCTCTTGCCTCAGCCTCCCGAGTAGCTGGGACTATAGGCTCTTGCCACAATGCCCAGCTATTTTTTGTTGCAGTTTGGCTGGGTTTGAACCTGCCACCCTCAGTATATGGGGCCAGCGCCCTACCCACTGAACCACAGATGCCACCCTACAAAGCTTTCTTAAACATTAAATTAAAGAAGTATTTGTGTTGGGACCTTCCCAACAAGGATTGGAAAGACTTTAAGGTAATACAACTTTATGATTTTCCTATAGATGAATGTCCTTTCACTTTCTCAGTCATTGATGAAAGCTTTAATATAGATATTTTAAAAAGCATCTTTTTTTTTTAGTTGTCAATAGTAAAGGTGATGGAAAACTTATTTTGCATGGGTTTTGAAAGATACACAAATGAGGGTTCTATAACTGTTAAATACCCATATAATAGAAAATTATTTAATATTAAATGATTAAAACATCTTTAATTTTATTTTAAAAGTTTGTATGAGTTTTCAGATATATACAAAACCAGAATGTTATAATGAATTCCTGTGTATTCATCACCACCTTCAACCATTACCATTATTTAATTAATATTGTTAACTATTCAAAGGCAGCAGCAGTTCATATTGAAGAAAGTCATGAGGGAACTTGGTTTGGGAACCCATACGCTAACGTTGGACAGTTCCTGCTGAAAGGTAACATAATTCATGATGCATTCATCTCTTTAAAAAAGATAGGAAAACAATTGGATGTAGCTCTGTTATTTTTTTTTTTTTAAAGATTCTGTAGTTAGTGGTTGACCAGCTGGCTGTACTACTGTATGTTAACAGTCCAGGGCACTAAGCAAGGCAGTAACATCTCTCCACCAATTTATAGCTCTTAGCTAGATGGGTCTTTTGTTTCTTTCCTGCCCTATTCTGTCCTGTCCTTTTCTTTTCGTAAAATTGTACTTGAGTCAAAAGAAATTGTAGATTGTTTTGCTGTTACTGGTTTAGTGCTCCTGGTTGTGTACATGCTGTTTTTAAAGTGGGTCATTAGTATGGAGGAGAAGTGTGGGGCTTTAACAGCAATATTTACCAGAGAAATAGACTTAATATGTTTAGTCTTTTTCAAGAAATGATTTTATTAAACTCTGAAGAAATACAAAAGGACATGTATAAGATGTGTGTAAGGCATAGATTCTGAAAACTCAGTCAACCTGGACTAAGTCCTCAGTTATGCTCTTAAGTAAAGGGCCTGCAAATTCTCTCTGTAAAGGGCCACACAGTAAATGGCCTCGTGGGCCACATATAGCTTCTATCACAAGGAGTTAGCTCTGTTGCTATAAGGTAAGAGCAGCCATGGACACTATGTCCGCATGTGCCATAGTGTCACAGCTCACGGCAACCCTCAACTCCTGGGAATGAGCTGCCTGTGCCTAATACAACTGTTATCTGGACACAGAAATGTGAATTTCATGTAATTTTTTTTTTTTTTGAGACAGCCTCAAGCTGTCACCTTAGGTAGAGTGCTGTATCATCACAGCTCACAGCAACCTCCAACTCCTGGCCTTAAGCGATTTTCTTGCCTCAGCCTCCCAAGTAGCTGGGACTATAGGCACCCGCCACAACCCCTGGCTATTTTTTGGTTGTAGTTGTCGTTGTTTGGCAGGTCTGCGCTGGATTCGAACCTGCCAGCTCTGGTGTATGTGGCTGGCACCTTAACCGCTTGAGCTACAGGTACTGAGCCTGTCATGGCTTTAATTTGAGCTTCCTTTGCTACTGATGATGTTGAGCCTCTTTTAGTGTATTTGCCATCTGCGTGTCTTGTGGGAAAGACCTGTGTAGGTCTAATTTCCTTTTCTTTTTTTTTTTAATTGGTTTATAGCTATTCTTTGTGGATTATTGTCCTTTATCATTATATAGTATGAATATTTTCTTCTAGTTTGTGGTTTGTCTTTGTATCTTTGTGGTGTTTTGTCTTGATTTTAATATTATAAACTTTTTAATTCCTTTTCCTTAATTTTATATTTTTTGTTTTAGGGAATCTTTCTTTACATGAGGGCTAAATCTTGACATGAAGTATTTTTGTTATTTAGTTCATAAAGCATTTATTGTTCCATTCAATAAGTATGTTCAATATTTAAACCTTTTCTAATTTCTAAGAGTACTTTGATTCATGACTTAAAGTGCTTGATAAATTCCAAATGCATTTTTCTAAATGTGTCCTGTGACTTATTTCTAAAATTATATTGTATCATTTGACTAGCCTAAAAAGAAAATTGTATTGTAGCCAGAAAATGTGTTCTGTATGGTACAAATTCTTTGAAATTATTGTCGTCTTAAATAGACTATATTATAGTTGAATTTGGCTAAGATCATAGTCCTAACTCAAGCTTTTGGACACTTAACTTCTTAGACTCCAACTGTGCATAATTTATACCTTGATTATGAAAAAAGATTAGATTAATTGATTTTTTTTTTAAAGTAGAGTTTTTAATATTTCTTTTCTGCTTCTGGAAACAATTGTGGTGTTCTCTGGCTGAAGCTGAGGTGTTAATATACATGATCAGCTTTTGGACTCTGTTCTACTCAGGCTGAGGCTTAAAGACAAGTAACTACCTCATCCACCAGTTTGCTTTAGCTTAGCTGGCAAACAAGGGGCTCATGCTGTGACTGCAGCTGCCTTCCTTTCAGTGGCATCATCTGTTAATTAAGTTGTTTAATTTTTTGATGGTTTCTGAAGGATTGACTCTTAAAAAAAAGTTAAAAAAAAGTTTTTAGTTTGTGGTTATTCCAAGACATTTTAGCCTAGTGCTAATTTTGAATATCCATTTAATCTCCCCCAACCTCCTGAAATTGACATTAATTTATCAAAGTTAAATAATAGGTCAGAAGTTAAATTTTATTCTTCTCCTGAATTATCAGGCATTAGTAATTGAAAGTGTCTAGATACTATTTATGTAGAGAAGTTGGTCTGTTGTAGAAAAAGTGTTTTGTATAGGAAACAGACCACCTGGGTTCAAATGTTTTTGGGAGGGGGGCTGTTCAAATATTGGCTCTCTGCCTTTGGCCATGTGACTTTTGGCAAGTTATTTAGTTTTTGTGCTTCTCAGTGTGTTCTTGTGAAGTATAGTATTTATGATCTCAGCCTTTGAGGTTGCATGTACAGTTACTATTAACAGTATAGTAGTCGTGTCTTGAATTGACTTAGCTAATGTTTTTACTACTAACGATCTGATCCTTTCCATTTATGTATTTCCCTGGTGCTCGAGCTGCTTCATTTGGTTAGTTCATTGGTTCAGCATTTGTCAAATACTGCTCTGTACTGATATCCATATTAAGCCCTGAAGACATAGACATGAGGTGGAGTTAGACTTCAACAGTTCAGTGCCATTTGGCATGATGCTGCAATTGTGTCATAGCAGCATGCCCCGAGAACCTGGAGGGTAAGTCCCTGGAGCTGCTCAGGTAAACACTTTGGTCTTCGAGGACTGCATGCAGCCTCTGTAGTATTCTTCCCTCCCTTCCGCTCCCTTCTTCCCCAACTGGGGGGTGCTGCAGGTGGTTAGGGCTCTGGGCTAGGGTGGGCAGTGGAGCCTTCTTGTGCCTTGGCCCGTGGGGAGGCACTGGGAGGCACCAGGGGTGAGTTCTGAGAAGTTGAAGGTAGAGAGGCTGATCCTGAAGAGGAACTGCCTTGGCCCTGTGCCTATCCCCCAACCTCTGGGAGGTCCCAATAGCCAGGAGGAGGAGCAGCTGGGACTAGTTGGGGTGACCCAGGGAGTGGTGTCATTGAGGATTTGGAGCTGGAACCCATCAAAGCTTGAGTTAGGGAGATGCAGGAAAAAGCTGAGAAGCTAAAGGAGCTGTAGAACAAGCTGTCCTGGAGAGAAGCAGGAGAAGATGAGCCCTCCTCCAGGCAGTGTTAGCTCAGGGGTCATGTTCCTGGAAGAGAAGAGGAGGCTGATGCTTGTCCATCTGTCTGGGCACTGTGGGTGGCGTTGGAGCAGAGGAGCAGGATGTTCACTTGCATCGCTGTGGTTCATTCAACTGTGTTAGCATATTCTGTGACAAATTTAGTGGGCCATGCCCAAGAGTTTACATATATAGAGTTCTCAAGGCATCAGAGACTACTTCCCTGGTCTTAGAAGAGTCCTTGTTTTGGAGACAAATCAGGGTGATCCAGGCATTAGCACAACAGATCAAGTTTCCCACAAATCCTCCTCTGTGCCTGGACCAGCCCTGACCTGCTGTCAATTCTGTGGTGATTTTAAAAGCAGGTCCCAGGGTTGAGTCTACATGGTCAGGCTAGAGTGACATCATATTTCCCTTACTTAAAAATCCTGTTTCTTAGGAGGAGAAGGGAAAATAAGAAGAAAGAAGGAAAAACAAGATTAGAGCAATTCTTTGCTCAGGAACTATACATAAACTGGCTGTGGGCCAGATGTGGTGACCCCTTTGTAGAAGTTAGTTCAGTAGAAGATGGGAAGCAGACTCCACTCACATGCAGAGGCTTGGAGGTATGAGAGGCAAGAGTTTTATGGGATGGGCTGTTTCTTATCATGTGTGGAGTGTTGGTTGGTCTGGGTAGAAGACACAAAGTTGATATTAGGCAGGTTCAAATATTGTGATATTAGGCAGTTTGGACTTGATTCTGATAGAATTTTTTTTTCCATGTAAGACAGATAATGTGCTTATGTTATAACAAGATTTGTGGGAGGTACATCTCACACATGCGCATGAAAACTCAATCACCAAGCTTATGAACTACAGAAGGATCTGATATATATTTTTCAGGAGGGTGTTGCAGGATCAGTAAGCAAGGCATTATTGTCATCCAGAAGTGAGAGAATAACCCAGTGTTTGTCATTAAGGAAGTGGCTGACCGTTGTCTAGCTAGTAAAGTGAAAGGGACAAAGTTCAGAGGCCTGATTTAATAGTCTGTATGTCCTTTTAACTATATAATTATATTGTACAAATAAATGATGAAGGTCTTAATTAAGGGCATGACTGAGGAAGTGGAGAGAAGGAATTGATTTGAAGCCTATTTCTGAGTTACTCTGCAGCAGGGGTCCTAAAACTTTTTAAACAGGGGGCCAGTTCACTGTCCCTCATACCATTGGAGGGCCGGACTGCAGGTTCCAGGACGAGTCGGCTGCTAAGCAGTACAGGCAGCGGCGGCAAAAACACCCTGCAGGCCAGATAAATGTCCTAGGCAAGCTGCATGTGGCTCACAGGCTGTAACCTTTTTACAGCACAGCAACCTTTTTACCTCACAGTCCACTTAAACCTATAGTTAAACTTTTGCTGTGGCACACTTAAATTATGTTGAACCAAAAAAAAAAAAAAGGCTCAGTGACGGTAGTTCAGCGGCTAAGGCGCCAGCCATATGCACTGGGGCTAGCAGGTTTGAACCCAGCCTGGGCCCGCTAAACAACAGTGACAACAACAACAACATCATCATCAAAAATAGCCAGGCATTGTGGTGGGTGCCTGTAGTCTTAGTTACTTGGGAGGCCGAGGCAGGAGAATCACTTAAGTCCAGGAGTTGGAGGTTGCTGTGAGCTGTGATGGTAATTACCACACTCTACCAACAGTGACATAGACTTTGTCTCAAAAAAAACAAAAAAAACATTGTTCTTAGTACATGGCTAGTCATGTAAATATTAACTTTTTTTAGGGCAAAATCAAACTGATGGCCAGCAATTACAGTTCTTTTTTTTTTTTTTTTTTTTTTTTAAGAGACAGAGTCTCACTTTGTTGCCCTCGGTAGAGTGCTGCAGTGTCACAGTTCACAGCAACCTCCAGCTCTTGGGCTTAGGCGATTTTCTTGCCTCAGCCTCCTCAGTAGCTGGGACTATAGGCGCCCACCAAAGCGCCCACCACTCTCCATATATGGGGCCGTCGCCCTACTCATTGAGCCACAGGTGCCACTCACAAGTACAGTTCTTAACCATGTAGTTATTTCTACTGTGGGAATTTAAAGACTAATGTTGATCATTCCCTGATTTATATTATCTAAGAACTGGAAGGCAGTTAGGTTTGTCATTTGCTCTGTATACAAAATGGACAACTTATTGTTTGTACTAGTTTTTCAGAATTCTGTGATTTTATAGCTTCTTTTTTCTTTTTTTAAGACAGAGCCTCAAGCTGTCACTCTGGCTAGAGTACCGTGGTCTCACAGCAATCTCCAACTCCTGGGCTTAAGCGATTCTCTCACCTCAGCCTCTCAAGTAGCTGGGACTACAGGCGCCTGCCACAATGCCTGGCTATTTTTTGGTTGTAGTTGTTGTTGTTTGGCAGACCTGGGCTGGATTCAAACTTGTCAGCTCTGGTGTAGATGGCTGGCAGCTTAGCCACTTGAGCTATAGGCACTGAGCCTATAGCTTCTTTTCTCTTAATGTATTCAGTCAGTAGCTTAGTACCAGTTAGATAGCAAACCCTGTACTAACCACACAGAGACTCAGAGAGGTGAATGAGACACAGTATCCACACCTTTGAGCAACTTTGCAGAATTAGAGTATTTCTGGATAGAAAATTATTTTGAAGTATAAAGAAGCTTTTCTTTGAGCAGATTTTCATAATCGTATTTACATTCTTGATGTATTTTTTGGTTTTGCGGAAAGTTACTTCTGGCTTGTGTTCTTTTAAAATAGAGGTTAGAGCTTGTCTAAGTGCAGAAACTTGGTAGACTGGCTTTAGAAGAAAGCAAACCCATGTGTAGAGATTTTTGGAGAGCTTGACAGATGACCTGAATTGTCAGAATATTATTTATGGGTAAAGAAATAATGGTTTAGGTGTTTAGTGATTAGCATCAAACAGACATTTTCTTTTCCAGGGGCTCTCAGCATACGTGTTTAATTCTAGCTAGAAATCTTAACTTTGTCAATAGTCATATTGAATTGATACTCAGCTCTAGAAGGAATTTTTTGTCATGCTTGCTTTGGAACGTCCAGGTTATGTTTATTATTTTAACAACAATGATATTGCATGGTTAGTTTGAGACTCCAAACTAATGGCGTGATTTTGAGTGCTGCTAAATAAATTTGAATCCTTGACCTCTCCCTCATTTGCTCTTTTACCTTGGAGAACATAACTTCTTTAAGACTTAGTTCTCTGATACGTAAAATTTGGAAATAGTAAAAGTAACCAGTTAGGGCTGTGAGGATTTATGAGGTAACATACCAAACACTCCTCAAATGGGAAGCTGCTGCTGCAGAAATGGGGAATGATTATCTGCAGTTAGAGGTGAGATGATGGAAGGCTGTCCAAGTTGGAGTGTGCATTGAAATGGGACACTGTAAGCAAGGCGATGAAAGGAGATATTCTACTTGGTAACGAAGCACAGATTTAGAGTGATGTGTGGAAAATTTTAGTTTGCAGGTTAGAAAGGGGAAAGGGTTCAGAACAGCCAAAGCAGCATCTATATATATCTGCCATAAAATGTACCCATTCATACAGAAAGGGTAGAGAATATCCATCTTTTATTTATTTATTTATTTATTTTAGACAGAGCCTCAATCTGTCTCCCTAGGTAGTGCTATGGCATCATAGCTTACAGCAACCTTAAACTCTTAGGGCTCAAATGATCCTCTTGCCTCAGCCTCCCAAGTCGTTGGGACTATAGGCGCCTGCCACAAAGCTGCTGAGTAGCTGGGACTACAGGCATTTGTCAATACTCGGCTAATTTTTTTATTTTTAGTAGAGATAGGGTCTTGCTCTTGCTCAGACTGGTCTCAAATTCCTGAGTTCAAGTCAGCCTCCCGCCTCGGCCTCCCAGAGTGCTGGGATTATAGGTGTGAGCCACTGCACCCAGCCTGGGCATTCATCTTACAAATATCTTCAGACAGTTGAGAATATATTTGTTATTTAATAAGCCAAGTTTAATTTTTTAATTTTTTTTGGGTGGGGGGGACAGAGTTTCACTGTGTCGCCCTGATATAGAGAGCTGTGGTATCATAGCTCACAGCAACCTCAAACTCTTGGGCTTAAAGCATTCTTTTGCCTCAGCCTCCCAAGTAGCTGGGACTACAGGTGCCTGCCACAATGCCTGGCTATTTTTTTTGTTGCAGTTGTCATTGTTGAGCCGGCCCAGGCTGGAGTCAAACCCGCCAGCCTGGGTGTATGTGGTCAGTGCCCTACCCACTGAGCTATGGGCGCTACCCCAAGTTTAATTAATTTTTTTAATCCAGCTGTAGCAAAATAATTTAAGCATTTCATTTTTATTTTTTTTCCTGAGAGGTGACAGTTTAAATATTTTAATTTTACAACTTAGGAAATAGCTGCTTTATGGCCTATTTGAACTAATTCAAATTTCCATGCGTGTATTTTATCAGTCATGTTTATAATACATAGGTTCTTAATAGAGGGGGAGGAAATCATGAGTAGCGGAGTTAGGGAGCTGAGTTAGGACACAGTGCAGTAAGGTGTTTGCTACTTGAAGAACAGGTGGGCAGTGGGCCTAGTGCTGACATAACAGAGTTTTGTTACTTGGGGAAATTTTCCCTAAGATATATGTGATAAAGCAAAAGCAGCTGTGAATAAGGTGGAATAAGGCACCTAAAGACAGCATATTCATTCACTTATTAAGTTATTTGGACATCAAGCGAATGTTTATGGATTATCATCTAGATAGACTGCTGTTTCAGACATAGTACATACTATTAGTTATGCAGGGGTGAGCACAAACCAGGCATCGGGGGTAATAGGGATAGTTTGTCTTTGCATTTAGCAAAGAGAAGAAAGCCAGTTCCAACAAAGTCAGAAGATTTCAACAAATGATGTTTTTAGCTTTATATCCATAACAGGAAAGAGTTTTAAAAAAAAAAAAAGAGCACATAAAGAGCAAGTGCTTCCAACTGCAACTACGTGGTGCTTTTTTGACCTTCACTTCAGTTTTATTTAATGATGCTTATTTATGTGATGTGCAGGTCCTGAGGCTTTAGAGCTGAAAGAGGCTGTCATTGTTACTAGAATTTTACTGTTTATTTGGAGAAAGAGGCCGACAGATAAGGCAAGATTTTAGTAGATGTGTTCAACAGGAAGCTACACCGTAAGATTCCTTTGGGTCGTGTCTCTTGTTCATTGCTATGGATATCCAACGCCTGAGTGCTGGGCATGGCTCCGTCACTCAGTAAACATCTGTGTTGAGTGAAGAGTGCCATGGGAGTGTAGGAGAGAGGCACCTAACCCAGGGGAGGAGGGGTGGCTCCCACTGCATGTGCATCCAGTTTAGCTATGGGAAGAAGATCCAAATGGAGGGAGATGCAGATGTCATAGAGGTGTGAGAGAAGGTGCCGATTACTCTGTGAACTTGAAAATAGTTTAGTTTTGCTGGAGTATAGGATCATAGGCAATGGTGAGAGATGTTAGATTGGAGAGTTATACTAGGCTTGATCAATAAGGGTCATATTAAGAAGACTAGGTTTTCTTTTTTAAAAAGTAATGTTTTTTTTCCTAAGTACAAGAAATCAGGTTTCCTAATACATCTAGGCTGATAATTTTTTCAAATCATGTGATACATGTAATATAAGCAAAGTATCTTGGTTTCTGTATCTATTAGTGATGGCTGCACTATCACAATTCTCTACGGCATTTATTAACTTTTTATTTTGGGGGAAGAAAGTATAGGATAAATATTTGTTTTCTTGGGAGTAAAGAATCTATGGTTTAAGCTCTTTAACGGTGAGTGGTCTCTGTGCCTTTGAATTCTAGTTTCCTAGAATGATGTCAGGCATGCACAATAAATTCTCAGTACATGAATAAATGGAAAAACCTTT